TGATGTCAGTGGGGAGGAATAGTGCCCCATCGGTGTCAGTGGGGGGAGGAATAGTGCTCCATCGTTGGTGTCAGTGGGGGGAGTAATAGTGCCCCATCGTTGGTGTCAGTGGGGGGAGGAATAGTGCCCCATCGTTGGTGTCAGTGGGAGGAATAGTGCCCCATCATTGGTATTAGTGACACCAATGATGGGGCACTATTCCTTCCACTGACACCAGTGATACTTACCTTGCTGACCCCTGCTCCAGCCTGGGCTCGCTCCCTCCCTCTCCCATCTACAGCCAGCATACCTGGCTGCAGCAGCACCATCTGCACGGTACAGACACTTACCGGTCAGCTGTCTTCTTTCTCCAGCCGCTTTCCTCTTCACTCGCTCAGGCAGCTTCCTCACTCGATCTTCTTTGATCTTCGCGCTGCCACTCGGCTCCTCCTCTCCAAGCTCCACCTCCTCGCCGGTGATTGGCCACCTGTGTGCCTCTCCTGAGCTACAGTTCCGGCGGCCAATCACTGGCGAGGAGGCGGAGCTGTTGAGTGATCCCGGGGGTGTGGCCAGATGACAGGGGCGGCATGTCATGCTGCCTACACATCGCGGTCCAGGGAAATGTGGGCGTATCTGCATGTGGGTGGACCCGCCTGGAGACGGATAGAGGAGCTGTGTCTCGGTTCCTAAGACCATCGGAAACATGTGTTTTTCGATGGTCTTAGGCGACCCCTGTGAAAGGGTCATGTGACCCCCAAAGGGGTCGCGACCCACAGGTTGAGAACCGCTGCCTTAGGTAAATGCAGGGATTTGACAGTCTTATACCTCACAGATGGGAACCATTAGGCAAGTTTCTGAGCAGTCTAAGGCCTCACAGCTAAAGGCCAGGAGGCAACTCTTCTTGGCATCTAGTTACTTTGCACCAACATACAACTGCTAGCATCCAGTACAATCTCTAAAACACAACACAGTCACAAGGATCATCTTAGGGTCTTTACTCACAAGTCCCCAAGACAACTGCCACCTTCCATCTTCCTCTGGACATGGTCCAGTGAGTGAGTTGGAATCTCTCTAGACCAGATCCCCTGTGGTGAAGTTCTACAATCGGCTCCAAGTCCATCCAAGCCCTCAACGCCGACACTGCTGAGTCCTCTAGAACAGCTGTAAAGTAATGGGCTGACCAGAGGCAGCAACCCCTCTGGCTCTGGAACCCTTCTGGGGAAAAGGAACCCAGCCCTCCAGTGCTTCAGACTTTTAATCACCATTCCAGCCCCCTTCTGGACACTCCTCTCCAGGGATTGGCTGTAATCTGATAAATATTCAGGCTGGTTACTTTGAACCTCTCCCACCCTAAGCTCTGAAAACGTCTTCCAGAGACAGGGGAAACCAATCAAACTTTCAGCCTGTGAAAGCCTGAACAGACCAGGCCAAACAATTACTACTCCCTTGATTACAGAAGGAGCCGAAACTAAATTTACCTAGCACCCTATGCTAGGAGGATGCTACATTTAAAATAAAATACTTATATCAAGCACTTTTAAAACTGACATCAGCAATTGGTCTATAAGTGTTAAAAATGAAAACTGAGCAAAAACCATTATAGCTATCTTTAAAGAGATCATGTAAGGTATCTAAATGTTTTAATCCAGCAGGTCCCTTCAATAGAAAACAACTAGTTCCTTCTGTCCACCACCACCACCGCCACTTCAACACAGGACTCAGCAGTTACACTGGAAGAAGAAACAAATGCTTGGTGAGGTACACAGACTTCCACTATTATCAAAAATGTTGACTGCTGAAGAGACTTCCTAAGGTTGTAACTCTAGAATGAAGGATAGGTGGGAGAAACAGGTCACCGGAGGTCAATAGTTGCTGTTTTCTACTGGAGGGATCTGTTGCGTTAAAACATTTATGGTAGGCTACATGAACACAGCCGCAAGAGGGCTGCAAGAGGGCCATACAGTGTAATTGTGGGTGGATTTTTGTTCCTTGGAGACACAACTGCAGTGTACAGCTGCTCATAACAATGAATGGCTACGTGCTATTTGTACGTGGGTAATTGCTATGCTTGCCTAAACACACGCACAAATGTAAATCCCTAGTAGGTGTCCAGGAATGTATGCTTCTGTTTATGCCAGCAATGTGTATACCAGCCTGCATCTAGTATACAGACATTCATTACTATGGACAGCTGCATCTTTTTATTTATTATAGGTACTTATATAGCATTGTCAATGTAGGTAGCATTTTACATATATATATAGTAGATTCAGATCAGTCCCTGCCCTCAAGGAGCGTTCTATCTAAGGTCTCTAACTCACATTCATACATACACATACTAGGGCCAATATAGACAGGAGCCAATTAACCTACCAGCATATCTTTGGAGTGTGGGAGGAAACCCACGCAGGAACCGGGAGAATATGCAAACTCCAGGCAGATAATGCCATTGTTGGGATTCAAACCGAAGGCCCTAGTGCAGCTAGCAGGAGGTGCTAACCACTAAATAGATAGGAAAGCATAATATTGATTTGTTTTTTTAAACTCCTGGTTTCCATGCCAAGGCAAATGATATCTCACATCCCAGGAGTCTTCAGGAGGACAGAAGGGGTTTTTCTCAGCTAAGCACACCCTCCTGTCTACATGCCTGAGCTAAGGGCTTATGCCCTTGGATTCCAGGAAGTAAATGCTACATGAATCATTTGCCTTTACTCAAGATGGCCACAGCTAGAAATGCTACGGGGTGTTTTTCTCAGTAAAATAAAGCATGAAGACATGGATGGGGGTGTCAGGAATGGACTGGCCAGCAATGGTGGGACTCACCTGCCTTTTGATCTGCAGTACCAGGGCTGGCCAGCGGGTGCTCCCAGCAATCAGAGACTCAACCTTTCAGCCAGCTAACACCTGGAACTGATGATACTGGTGTATTTAAGGGATGGCCAGACTTGCAGACTCTGCCTTGGTGTTGTGTTTGTCCTGGGCCCTGTATCTGTCCTGCATCCTGTTTCTGTTCCTTTGCTGACCCTGCCTGATCTGAACCGCTGCTGACTTCTCCTGCTCTGATCCCGGCTCGCTCCTGACCATCCCCCTCTGCACCACGCTGCTTGCTACCTGTTCTGATCCCTGGCTTGTGACCCTGACCATCCCTCTGCCTGACCCTCTGTACTACGCTGCTAGCTACCTGCTGAACCTGGCCTGTGACCCCGACCCATCTCCGCTTGCTCCCCCTGTACCTACCTGCCCTATTGATATTGACCCGGCCTGCCTGACGACGCTTGCTTGTATGTACTGTTATCTGTGGGTGGTTGGTTTGGTTTGTTTGCACTGTATTATGTTTTAGTATTGCACTGCGTTTATGTTTGTATGGTTAGTGTTAATAAATTATATTGTTTATAACATATCTGAAGTCTGCGTTTCCCTGCGTCAGTCACACACCTCTGGTCACACCTGGGAGCCCTGACATTACACCAAGGCCAATCCTGACCAGAAGTGGCTGCACAGGGAAGCCATCTTGGCTTGTTGCTGGGAAGGATGGATCTGGATGAGGTTGAGTATTTATCTCTGCTAGTGCTTGATGACAGAAAATATGCTTATCAGACTCTGAAGGAGTATCCCCGGGATGAACTGCTAGAATGTATACGGCTCGCTCATGTTCTAGTAGATCAGGGCACAGAGTTCTCTATGGTGCAGCCATTGATTAAGGTTTGTGTTGAGTTGGTTTCATCTGGTTTCCCCGAATGCAGGGATGAATTTTTGCCACCATTTAGTGCAGACCAGGTAGAGTCCCTGGTGTGGTTATTAGAGGATGATGTGGGTTACTTTCTGGAACGTTATTCCACATGTTCACCACAGATACTAAGAGATTGTATAAACGCAGTGCAGTCTTTGGTCAGACAGGCTTTGTGTAAGCTCAGCTTTGTTCAACCCATACTGCAGACATGGACAGACTTGTTGCACCCAGCCTCAGTCAGCTTACAAAGACCCAGTCCTGCTTCTAATCTATTTCCTCAAAGCTCTACTCCTGTATTCCCAACAGCTCCCCCAGTTACAGCCCAGTATACTTGGCTATCTACCGCATGTCAGTACCCTGTTCCCACTCGCTGCACCTATCCTGCCTTTAACCCTGTAAAAAAGCCCTCTGTAGCAACTGCTCCCTCTCCTGTTCCATCCTCCAGTTCTTCTCTGTCTCCAGCTGCTCCATTCGTTTGCAGACCTGCGTTTACTTGCAGTGCTCCAGTAGTTAAAACCAGAAAAAAGCGAAAATTCTTTCCAACCAATACCATCCTGCCAGTATCCAAACCGGTGAACCTGCCTTCCGTGGTTCAGCCTGAAGCCTCTACTCAGCCTGAAGCCTCTACTCAGCCTGATGCCTGTACGCAGCCTGATGCCTCTCTTCTGCCTGAAGCCTCTACTCGGCCTGAAGCCTCTACTCGGCCTGAAGCCTCTACTCGGCCTGGAGCCTCTACTCGGCCTGGAGCCTCTACTCGGCCTGAAGCCTCTACTCGGCCTGGCCTGAAGCCTCTACCGGCCTGAAGCCTCTACTCAGCCTGGACGCCTCTACTCAGCCGGACGCCGGCATTCAGCCGGACGCCGGCATTCAGCCTGATGCCTCTACCCAGCATGATGAACTGATCCAGCCTGACGATCCTATTAGGCCAGTTGACTCGATGCCCGCTGTTGATCCAGATGATCCGGTACCTGATCCGGTGCCCGCTATCGTGCCAATTGACTCAGAGCCCGCTGTCGTACCTGGTGACCCGGTGCTCACTGTCGTGCCTGTTGACTCGGAGCCCACTGCCTTGCCAGATGACGCGGTGCCCGCTGTCGAGCCAAATGACCTGATGCCTGGTGACCCGATGCCCGCTGTCCTGTCAGACGATCCAATGTCTGACCCAGTGCCCGCGGTCATACCAGTTGACTCGGAGCCCACTGCCTTGCCAGATGACGCGGTGCCCGCTGTCGAGCCAAATGACCTGATGCCTGGTGACCCAGTGCCCGCTGTCATACCTGGTGACCCGATGCCCAATGCCCGCTGTCGAGCCAGACAATCCGGTACCTGATGACCCGGTGCCCACTGTCGTGCCTGTTGACTCGGAGCTCACTGCCTTGCCAGATGACGCGGTGCTCGCTGTCGAGCCAAATGACTTGATGCCTGGTGACCCGATGCCCGCTGTCCAGTCAGACGATCCAATGTCTGACCCAGTGCCCGCGGTCATACTAGTTGACTCGGAGCCCACTGCCTTGCCAGATGACGCGGTGCCCGCTGTCGAGCCAAATGACCTGATGCCTGGTGACCCGATGCCCGCTGTCCAGCCAGACGATCCAATGTCTGACCCAGTGCCAGCGGTCATGCCAGTTGACTCGGAGCCCACTGTCGTGCCTGGTGACTCGGTGCCCGCCGCTCCGCCTGAGGGCCCGAGACCTGTCGCTCCACCTGGGGGTCCGGCGCCCGCGCCCGCCGCTCCGCCTGAGGGCCCGAGCCCGCCTGAGGGCCCGCCTGTCGCTCCACCTGGGGGTCCGGCGCCCGCCGCTCCGCCTGAGGGCCCGAGACCTGTCGCTCCACCTGGGGGTCCGGCGCCCGCCGCTCCGCCTGAGGGCCCGAGACCTGTCGCTCCTCCTGGGGGTCTGGCGCCCGCCGCTCCGCCTCGACCTGCGCTCCGCCTGGGGCCTGCCCGCCCCGCCTGGGGCCGGATGCCCTGTCGCCCGCCTGGGGGCCCTGGCGCCCGCCGCCCCGCCTGGGGGTCCGGCGCCCGCCGCCCCGCCTGGGGGCCCGATGCCCGTCGCCCCGCCTGGGGGGCCTGGCGCCCGCTGCTCCGCCTGGGGGCCCGGCGCCCATCGCCCCGCCTGGGGGCCCGGCGCCCTTCGCCCCGCCTGGGGGCCCGGCGCCCCACCTGGGGGCCCGGCGCCCGTCGCCCCGCCTGGGGGCCCGGCGCCCGTCGCCCCACCTGGGGGCCCGATGCCCGTCGCCCCGCCTGGGGGCCCGATGCCCGTCGCCCCGCCTGAGGGCCCGGTGCTGCCGCTGCTCCGCCTGGTGGCCCGCTGCCTGCTGCTTCGCCTGGTAATCAGATGTGCCTCTGCCCGGAGTCCTGCCCGATGTGCCTCTGCCCGGAGTCCAGCCCGATGTGCCTCTGCCCGGAGTCCAGCCCGATGTGCCTCTGCCCGGAGTCCAGCCCGATGTGCCTCTGCCGGAGTCCAGCCCGATGTGCCTCTGCCCGGAGTCCAGCCCGATGTGCCTCTGCCCGGAGTCCAGCCCGATGTGCCTGCTGCCTGCCCGGAGTCCAGCCCGGTGTGCTGCTGCCCGGAGTCCAGCCCGGTGTGCTGCTGCCCGGAGTCCAGCCCGTGTGCTGCTGCCCGGAGTCCAGCCCGGTGTGCCTCTGCCCGGTGTGCCTCTGCCCGGTGTGTCTCTGCCCGGAGTCCAGCCCGATGTGCCTCTGCCCGGAGTCCAGCCCGATGTGCCTCTGCCCGGAGTCCAGCCCGATGTGCCTCTGCCCGGAGTCCAGCCCGATGTGCCTCTGCCCGGAGTCCAGCCCGGTGTGCCGCTGCCCGGAGTCCTGCCCGGTGTGCCAGTCTTTGATATCCCGCCAGTTACCAGACCCGGGCGGTGGAACATTTTGCCCAGCTAGGACTGTTTGGAGCGTCCTGAGGCCGCTCCTTGAGGGGGGGGTACTGTCAGGAATGGACTGGCCAGCAATGGTGGGACTCACCTGCCTTTTGATCTGCAGTACCAGGGCTAGCCAGCGGGTGCTCCCAGCAATCAGAGACTCAACCTTTCAGCCAGCTAACACCTGGAACTGATGATACTGGTGTATTTAAGGGATGGCCAGACTTGCAGACTCTGCCTTGGTGTTGTGTTTGTCCTGGGCCCTGTATCTGTCCTGCATCCTGTTTCTGTTCTTTTGCTGACCCTGCCTGATCTGAACCACTGCTGACTTCTCCTGCTCTGATCCCGGCTCGCTCCTGACCATCCCTCTGCCTGACCCTCTGTACCACGCTGCTTGCTACCTGTTCTGATCCCTGGCTTGTGACCCTGACCATCCCTCTGCCTGACCCTCTGTACTACGCTGCTAGCTACCTGCTGAACCTGGCCTGTGACCCCGACCCATCTCCGCTTGCTCCCCCTGTACCTACCTGCCCTATTGATATTGACCCGGCCTGCCTGACGACGCTTGCTTGTATGTACTGTTATCTGTGGGTGGTTGGTTTGGTTTGTTTGCACTGTATTATGTTTTAGTATTGCACTGCGTTTATGTTTGTATGGTTAGTGTTAATAAATTATATTGTTTATAACATATCTGAAGTCTGCGTTTCCCTGCGTCAGTCACACACCTCTGGTCATACCTGGGAGCCCTGACAGGGGGTTATCGCTGGGTCTTGTCCTCCCCTCTCCTGGACCTCCAACCACCTGCAAATACCTTAATCTACCACCGTGCCTCTAAGATCCAGTAGTGCACCCCAACCTCCTACAGTGGTCCACAGTGCCCCAAAGGTCCCCTGAGAGGTTGCAGCCTCCACAGTGCCTCCCCAACCTCCCACAGTACTGCCTAGCCTCCTATGGTGCCCACCAGCCTGCTACAGAGCCTCCAGCCCTGCAGAGAGCCCCCATTCTCTCACAATGCCAGCCAGCCTATCCTAGTGCCACCCAGCCTGCTGCAAGGTCCTTATCCCTCCATATTGCCCCCAACCTCCCACAGTGCTCCTCAGCCCCCTACAGAAACATAATCCCATACAGGGTCAGATGCCGTTTCCTCTACCCCATTCCACAGCCCCTATACCCTCCCAGCCCCATTCAGACACTTCCAGCATATCAATACATGTTTGCATTCCCATACTTTTCTTGTGTATAACTTTCACTCTTTACTGTTGGGTCATGCAAGGTAGACATGTGTGATTCATTTTGAAACAAAATTTTCATTATTCAGAGATTCAGATGTAACCAAATTTCCTAATCACAATAGTAACGAATTTCAACGGATCCAGAATAAATTATAATGAAACAAATTTTCCAAATTCAAAAATGAATTTGAATTCGAATTGGGAACATATTGCAATACATACAGTATATAATAAAAGTGAAATAAGGACCTAATACTTTCTGCACAAAACAGACATGAGGCTTACTCTAAAACTTGGGTTCATTGGAATATATTTACTTTCTCGGAAGAGGGAGAAGCCTCCTGCCTGCACGGAGACATGGTACGATAACCTTTATTGGGGGCCCTCCATCCCTCCTCCAGCAACCCCCCCCATTTTCCCTTTTTTTTTTAGTATCCCCCCCTCTGCTCAGTCCTTACCCCATACCTATCCTATGCTATACCCTTTGCATGTGTGCAGCCTGATTCAGTTTAGTGGAGATCTCCATATCCCATTTCAGATACTGCTGGTTATACTACTGCTAGATGTTCCGGCCAAGTCACCCTTGCACTTTATGCTATCTATGAATGATGATGTATCTCTTAAAGGTTTGAGGCCTTTGAAAGGGTTACCACATATATCTGTGCTTCCATTGTATTTTGCTGCTCCGTGAGTGCTGTTTACTTTAAATAAATAATTTGAAAAAATAAATAAAAACTGAAATAAGATGATTCCTACTTAGGCTGCTTTATAGAATAGAAAATAAAGAGATATTTTATAAAATATAAAAGAATAGAGAAAAATTGAAATTGATTGATGGATAGTCACCCAGATGCTTTGTTTTTTTCTTTTTTCTGTTGTAAGCTGGGTTCCCTTCTATATGTTATGGTCCTGTTGCATTGGCTATAAATGATTAGGCCTTGAATATTATGTGTGGTTCCCCCCCCCCCCTTCCTTTCTTTTTGTTTTGCTCCCTTGGGTTGCTTTGATCCATTGTTGTTTTATGTACACTATGTTGGGCTTTGACTCTGTCCCTGCATGGGCATCCGTTGTTTGTATGTTTAAAATAAAAAAAAAGATTAAAAAAGAAAAGAAAAAGAATAGAGCAAAATAAAACAGAATAGAATAAACCAGAATAGAATAGAAAGGAACAGAATAGAAAATAATAAACATTTTAAAAAAACTGAAATAAGAAGATGATTCCTACTTAGGCTGCTTTATAGAATAGAAAATAAAGATATATTTTATAGAATATATAAAAGAATATAGCAAAATTGGAATTGATTGATGGATAGTCACCCAGGTGCTTTGTTTTCTCTGTTGTGCGCTGGGTTCCCTTCTATATGCTATGGTCCTGTTGTATTGGCTATAAATGATTAGACCTTGAATATTATGTGTGGTTTCCCCCCTCCTTTCTTTTTGTTTTTCTCCCTTGGGTTGTTTTGATCTATTGTTGTTTTATGTACACTCTGTTGGGCTTTGACCCTGCCCTTGCGTGTGCATCCATTGTTTGTATGTTTTTATGTTTAAAATAAAAAAAAAAAAAATAAAAAAAAAAAGAATAGAGCAAAATAAAACAGAATAGAATAGAACAGAATAGAATGGAACAGAATAGAAAAGAATAAACATTTAAAAAAACTGAAATAAGATGATGATTCCTACTTAGGCTGCTTTATAGAATAGAAAATAAAGATATATTTTATAGAATATAAAAGAATAAAGCAAAATAAAACAGAAAAGAATAAAATAGAATAGAATAAAAGAGAAATGAATAAAATAAAACATAATAGAAACTAAAGGAATAGAATAGAAAAGAATAGAATAAAATGGAAAAAATCGAAAAGAAATAATAGGACAAATATAGCCATCTTCTGAAACTCGAATTTCTAATTTGCAAATTTGAGATTCGAGTCGATTTGAAAACAACAAATATACAAAACAAATCTGAATATATGAGAAGAATTCCGAAAATGACTCAACGAATATGACAAAACAAAATGATTAACTTAACGAACGAATACAAAATCCATGTTTCCGTCATGCACATAGGGCAGCACAGTGGCTAAATGGTGAGCACTTCCGCTTGGCAGTACTAGGGTTGTCAGATCAAATCCCAACCACAGCACCTCCTGCCTGGAGTTTGCATGCTCTCCCTGTGCCTGCATGGGTTTCCTCCAGATACTCCAGTTTCCTTCCACACTGCAAAGGCATGCTGGTAGGTGAATTGGATCCTGTCTAAATTGTCCCTAGTATGTGTATGTATGAATGTGAGTTAGGAACCTTAGATTGTACACCCCTTGAGGGTTAGGGGTTGATGTGAATGTACAATATATATAAAGTGTTGCGTAAACTGACAGCTATATAAGTACCTGAAATAATTAAATAATACCTAAGCAAAATTTAGCAACTTTGGCATGTGTTAGTAAAAACCATACATATCATCACAACTACTATTGTGTACAGGGGCGGACTGACCATTTGGAAACTCAGGCACTGCCCGAGAACCCGGGGTCAGTAGGGGGCCCCATGAGATGCCACTGGTACCTTTTTCATAGGCTTTTTTGAGTTTTGGCAAGGACACAGGGGCCCCATGATCCCCTATTGCCCGGGGGCCCCATGAGTTGTCAGTCCGCCCCTGATTGTGTACAATATATATGTAAAGCGCTGCATAAATTGCTAGCACTATATATGTACCTGTAATAAATCTCTAATGGAAGGTTTTGGAAGCACTTTCTGGCGATGATCACAAAAAGGT